GCCAGAAGTCAAATCACCCTATCCCATGTCTTCAGATTTGGAAACAACAGACTACATTCTCTTCTGCAGCCAGATGCTTTTTACCAGAGCATTTCACTCCCTTGACTCAGAAGCCAGGGTCCATCTTCCAAATGAAGCTCTGTATATACTTTGGGCACTTCCTCTTTTCACAATTTCTTCTCTTGATCTTTTAAGCCATTACCAGAAATAGTCAATTAACTAACAGGAAGATCCCACAGTCATTCAGGCAAACTCTGAGGGGCCTGGAGAGCAGTGCTGGTCTTGGACCTGAAAGGACACTCTTGTCTTCTGAGTGGTCAGGCACTTCGTGCCAGGAACTCAGCCAAACCATCAAGTTGCTCCTGCTCTGAATGGCATCCATGGTCCAGTCTCTGGCTATGGTCATAGAAACCACTCCTGAGTTGGAGTGGGCCAGTCCTAGTAGGGCACAGAAAACATCCAGGGAAGTCAGGCACAGTGGCGCACGCCTGTAATCCTGTCTACTTGGGAGGCTGAGGCAGGAGGAACATAAGTTCCAGGACAGCCTGGGTAACTTAGCAAGAACTTGTCTCAAAATATAATTCACAAAATACTTGGAGATGTAGCACAGGATAGAGTGATTACCTAGCATTGTAGGAGGCCCTGGGTTCAATCCTCAATACTGGAAAAAGAGAAGAAAAGAAAAGAAAAAGATACCCAGGGAGATTCTGCCCTCGGGGTCTTCTCAGCTGGCAGGAAAGTCAGGGCAGCAAACTGAAATGCCACCAGCAGCCAGGTTGGTCCAGGCCTACCCTGGGCACCTGTATGTCAAGTCAGCCTTCCAAGGGGACTGAAACCTAAGCCGGCCAACTAGTGTGCTGTGGTCCTTGGGCCCGACAGCCAATCATTCAGTAAGCAGCCAGAAGTCTGTTGATTCACACCAGCTGAAACAGAGACAAAGGAAGGAACCAGTGAGGAGTTCCATGACACCTGGGCCCAGGGGCTCCAGATGGCCACAGGAGGATAGCAAATACAGAAAAAGGTCAAAAGTATCCTATCTTCTTGGTTTTGATGGAGAGCTAAGTATAAGACTCATCTGAATTTCCTCAAGTCACCTATGTGAATATCACCTGGCATACTCAGACAAATAGGGACAGGAACAGCAGAATAGATGCCACCAACAAGCACCAAGCAGAGCGGCCCACACTATAGGAATCTAGCTAAGCCCCCTGATGTACAGCTGTCCTAGATGGCCCTCCTGACACATCCCTTCATACAATTCAACACTGCAGCTGATGAGCAAGTGAGGCTGAGCTCAGGGTCTCCTTCTGGTGTGTGGTCGCTGCTTCCCTCTCAGCCTCAATCTCCCTTGAGGAATCACCCTCTCCCACCTGGGAAGCAGCCATGCTATCTGGGGGCACCCAACTTTCCTTCCAGGATGGCCCTACATAGTTTAAGCCAATAGCACAGCCTCAGGCTCTCAGAACATGGAACACATAAGACACAGTGGCACCACTTGTAAACAAGGAGGCCCAGAGCCCAAGTTCACTGTGTAGCCATGTCCAACACAAGGGAGCCGGCAAAGCAAAACTGACCATCAGGAGGGCAGGGTCAGTAGAACATGAAGGAGAGGGCTGCAGTCAGCCAACCCCTTCTCTAAGCCCAGGTGTCACTCCCCACTTCCTGCCTTCTAACTGAACCCTGGGGGACAAGCAGAGTGCCTCCAAATGAGAATCAACATGAGCCAGGACTAGGGTGTGTTTAGTGACCAAGCACTTGCCTAGCACACTCCAAGCCCTGGGTTAGACACCCAGCACTGCAAAAAGAACAAAAACACCTCAGTGCTAATAAGATCCCAACATCAGAGAACTTTAAACCACAACACTGTACCACAGGCAGACTTGGGTGGGACAGTGCCATGGCAGAAGGGACTCTCCTAAACTCCAGGCCCCTCTGCTACCAACAACAGCTCCCTGAGGGAGCTAAAATGCCACCCAGCAGAAGCAGCCCACATGCTCTATTCATTTCACAGCAAACACTATGTATTACAAATAAAGCAAACCAAAAAGAACAACAGCAGTACTGCTGCTATGATCAAGAACTGAAGAGTGCTCAGATGGGCTGGCCCAGAAYGTGTAGACGCCATTGTTTTTAAAATTAGAAATCAGAATTGAGCTGGGTGTGATGGCCAAGTCTGTGATCCCAACAGCTTAGGAGGCTGAGTCAGGAGGATTACAAATTACTGACCACACCCCGCCTTAGCAACATGGCAAGGCCATAAGAAACTTAAGCAGACCCTATCTCTAAATAAGATATTAAATTTTTTATTTGGATCTGGGGATGTGGCTCAAGTGGTTAAGCACCCTGGGTTCAATATTTTTCTTGCAGCCTAAGCCTCAAATTCTCAAATTTAGTGTCATCTTAACAAAGTTTCTAGTCTATTGTAAACTTTTTAGGTTTTTTTTTTTTTTTAACTGAGGGGCAATTGGCCATTGAGCCACACGCCCAGCTCTATTTTGTATTTTATTTAGAGACAGGGTCTCGCTGAGTTGCTTAGCGCCTCGCTTTTGCTGAGGCTGACTTTGAACTTGTGATCCTCCTGCCTCAGCCTCCTGAGCTGCTGGGGATTATAGGTATGCACCACCATGCCTGGTTTAGGTTACGCTTTAGAAACTGTTAGTTACACCAGCCTTAACAGGATTTGTTTTTTGGTTTTGTTTTGTTTTTTTTTTCTTTTTTGTACTGGGGACTGAGCTGCATCCCCAGTCCTCCTGGGCAGCTGGAATTATACATGTGGGCCACTGTATTGAGCTTAACATGATATTTTTAAGGCATATTCTGTCCTAAAAAACTTACTAATAAATAAAAGCATTTAGGAATGGGGGTATAAATCAGTAGCAGAGGGGCTGGGGATGTGGCTCAAGCGGTAGCGCGCTCGCCTGGCATGCGTGCGGCCCGGGTTCCATCCTCAGCACCACATATAAACAAAGATGTATGGGGCTGGGGATATAGCTCAGTTGGTAGAGTGCTTGCCTTGCATGCACAAGGCCCCGGGTTCAATCCCCAGCACCACAAAAAAAATAAATAAATAAAAAAATAAACAAAGATGTTGTGTCCACCGAAAACTAAAAAATAAAAAAAACATTAAAAATAATAGGGCTGGGGATGTGGCTCAAGCGGTAGCGCGCTCGCCTAGCGTGTGTGCGGCCCGGGTTCAATCCTCAGCACCACATACAAACGAAGATGTTGTGTCCGCCGAGAACTAAGAAAAAATAAAGAAATATTAAAATTCTCAAAAATAATAATAATAATAATAAAATAAATAAATCAGTAGCAGAGTACTTGCCTAGCATACATGAGGCCCTGGGTTCAATCCTCAACACTATAAAAAAAAATAATAATAATAATAATAACAACCTCAACAATAGGCAGAGTGCAGTAACGCAGGCCTATAATCCCAGTGGCTCCAAAAAATGAGGCAGGAAGATCGTGAATTCAAAGCCAACCTCAGCAAATTAGAAGGCACTAAGTACTCAGTGAGACCCTGTCCCTAAATAAAACAGGACTGGGAATGTGACTCAGTGGTAGAGTGCCCAAGTTCGATGTCGGTACTCTCCTCCAAAAAAGAAAAAATAAATAATATTAATAGCAGCATTTGGCTGACAACAATAAGAAAAAGGAACAAAAAGATTAGTCAAACAGCCAGGAGCAGTGATCACGCCTATAATCCCAGCACTCTGGAGGCTGAGACAGGATGATCACAAGTTCAGAGCCAGTTTCAGCAACTTAAAGAGACCCTGCCTCAAAATAAAAAAATAAAAAAAGGCTGGGAGGTTGCTTAGTGGTTAAGAGCTCCTGGGTTCAATCTCCAGCCCCCCAAAAAAGAAAACCATTAGGCCATGTGCAGTGGTGCATGCCTGTAATCCTAGTAGCTCAGGAGGCTGAGACAGGAGAACCGTGAGTTCAAAGCCAGCCTCAGCAATGGCAAGGCACTAAGCAACTCAGTGAGAACCTGTCTCTAAATAAAATACAAAATAGGGCTGGGGATGTGGCTCAGAAGTTGAATGCTCCTGAGCTCAATCCCTGGTACCAAAAAAAAAGAAAACCATTAGTCAATCCACATTGACCACCACTTAACTACAGGGTCCCACTCTCAGGTAATCCTCAGAAGGGTGAGTCCTGTGCAAATCAGCACATGCCAGTCTCTCCACAGCAGCTGGTCCTGATGTCTAGCAGCTGCACCAGGACCACGCGGCAGCCTCATGCTTACAGATCTTTAAAGTCCCCCAGGCACCAGCTCAGGAAAGGAGTAGGAAATGCAAGCATTCTGCTCACACATGCAACAGACGGCGACCTGAAAGCCAAACTGTAGGGAAAGAGTGAAGAAGCAGTTTCAAAGCTGTAGAGACTTCTTGAGAGCTTTGTGGCTCCCTCCAAGCTGCATGTGCACCTACATGCACATGCACAACTGGTGAGGACCACCAGACAAAACATCCAGGCTGCCTTGCACTGACCTACCACACCCACACACAGCTAGCAAGCTAAAGGGTCCAATCCTCGACTCCAAGCACAAGTCCCACAAGTTTCCTAGCACTCAGAAACTTCCCCACCAGGCCTCTGTCGCCAGGAAAAACCCTGCAGGATCACTATAGAAAGCTACCGGAACTCTCCATGCATCGATGCACTTGATGTCCACTCCTCCCTTTACCTAGCCCAGAGAGTTGTGTCTCCACTTCTGTGCAAGAGGACACAAGTCTAACTGCTCCAGGATCAAGTTCCAATGTCATTATGACTTGTGAGAACTTCCACATTCCTAATGATACACCAAGCCGCGCAGTCTGTTCTCAAAGAAAGTATTCTCAACATCACAGACATGACAAATATGGAATCAAACCCTGACAYGACCAAAGCGGCAGCCATATACTCAGCTTAGGCTAAAAGATCCCGTCACCAACACCCTTCCCTTGTTCCTTCTCCAGGTCTCGGAGGTGAGCACAGAAAACAGACACCTGGTGACTCACCTGAGCTCTCTGCCCTCGCTGTACCGTCTACTTGAGGCCCTCGGGGCGGCTGTCTCCAGGAGCAACTTCTGAGTGAGCCTGCTGGGGGGGGCACCATCTCTGCCATCATCCTCTTCCACCGCGTCCTGGTCACATTTCCACTCCTCATCTTCATTCAAAGTGGGCAGGTATCCAGATATGCCCTTCCCTGTCCCTGACCCTGAGCTCTGGTCACTGCAGACCTTTGGGCTCTCCGAGCCTGTCCTCGTGTATTCCAAGTAAATGTCAGACTTGAGAAAGGACGGGTAAGTGTTCTCCTCCATGGTGGACTGGATCTCCGTCTGGGCCTGGTCAAACATGGCAGGGTCGATCTGCTGCTTCATGACACAGTCCTTGATGAAGCTCTTGGTGGCTGGCTTGGTTTGCCTGGACACGATGCCATTACTATCCAGGATATACTTTCGGTAGATGGCTCTTGCCAGCTTCAACCTCTTCTCCTCGTTTGAATTACAGGGCTCAAGCTTCCTGAAGCCACTGCAGGCGAACCAGAAGTCCAGCAGGTCAGCACAGCCCTCCTGCTTCAGGAAAGTCCTGAACAGGCTGATCCCATCCTGGTCGTCCAGCAAGGAATGCAGTGACTCGGCCCACCGCAAGTACGGTGGGGTAGGAGAGGCACTGCCCTCAGGCTCGTACCCCAGATCCAGATCTGAGCGCCTCGGGGTGGCTGTTGAGGTCTCGCCTTTAATGCTGACACCTTTCCCAGAGCAGAAACTGTGGCTGATGGGCCTTGGGTCTGTGGACACCAGTTCTCCCTCCTCACCAGGCACTGGGGGCCGGGGGGCATCTTCAGTGAAACTTGCTCCAAGGTCCAAGGGGAAACCCTGCTCCTGGACACTCATTCTGGGACTCTGCGTCAATGAACAACGAGCGCTGCACCCTAATACATCAGTACTTACGGCTCCAAGGGGAGGCAATCTGTCCTGTTGAAACCATCAAGAGGACAAGGGTTAGGAAGGTGGCCCTTGGGACACTATCAGAGGTTCTCTGAGACGAAGCTAGCGGCACCGCCCTCCCACTCTCACTCAAAGCAGAAAGCCAGTTCCATTTCCAGCAGAGACATATTTTGGCCACACAGTATGCTCTATATCACATATGACTTGTGAGAGCTTAAAATACAGGAAGGCCTCTCACACTAAGTGGATGTCCAGAACACAGAGGATACCTCTCCCCTAAAGTGTCCTTCCATGAGACCAGGGGTCTGAGGACCAACCATTCTGGCTCAAGAGCTGAATGACCAGGAGGGCTAGAGAAAGGAAAGGTACTCTCAACCCTGACCCCTGGAACCAGGGGCTCACACACAAAGTCCCTCACACACAAAAATAATCACCTCACCTGCCCAGTTGTCAACACTCAGAAATGGGAGAAGCACACTATAGACCTATAGCAGGAGTGCATCTTCCAAGTCCCACAGCCTCTGTTGCTCTCTGCTATTGCATCACTTCATATTTGATATGCCTGCAACAGATGCAAGCACCCAGCCAGGTATTTCTCCTACTCTACACACACCTCAAAGAGCAGCTGGCCACAGGTTGCCTTCAATACAGTGGGATTGGTGATACAAGGACACAGGAAGTAGGCATTCAGAAGTCATCAATGCAGGCAACCTTAGAAATGCAGAATTACACTAAACTGTGAGTACCTGTATTATGAGGAAAATGTCCTTCTGAAAACAAATGGTGGATGGGGACATTAAGGGACAGAAAAAGTACAGAACAAATTAAATCTAAATACAAGTATGCTTTTTGGCTAAAGAAGCATATAGCTCATTTGATTTAACTCCCTAAGCTGAAAAACCAAACCACACATCCTCTTAGAGGTTATTCTGCTAGGCATGATGACACAGGCCTGTAATCCCAGCTACTCAGAAGGTTGAGGCAAGAAGACTGAAAGTTCAAGGCCAGCCTGGGTAATTTAGGGAGATCCAGCCTCAAAGTTAAAAATAAAAGGGCTGAGAGTATAGCTCAGTAGTAGAGGGCCCCTGGTTCTATCCCTAGTTCTTGAGAAAAAGAAAACAGTATTCATACATACAAACTGGTGTTTATTACTACTACTGCTGCCACTAGTAGTTGGAAAGTGTGCAGGAGACTGCCCCCGAGCAAGACCTGGAGCCCAAGAGCCCTGGCTGCGCCTCTTAACACAGCCCTTACATCCTTTTAACACAGAATGTAAGGATCCTAGCCAAGCATATTGGAGAAGGGACTATACACCATCAGGTCAAACACCTGGAGCACTGAACAAGCCAGAGCGCACAAAGTCAGCCCCCCTAGAACCAACTCAAGGGGGCTCTCCCTGGCTACCACTGCACACTGCTGGGCCCTAGCCTCCATGAAATCTACCCCCACACCTACATTCTCACTGCATACTCTTCACCTGCCAACCACTACTGAGAGCCAGAGGGACAAGTCACACACACAAAAAAGGAGGGTCACCAATATGTGCCCAACATCATCACAGCTACAGACTTCTTAGAAGACTGTCATCTCAGCCTCAGCAGGGCCAGCCTGTTTGTTCCTTCAGATCAAGATCCTGTGCTGCTCACAGAACCCCCCTTTCAGCTCACTTTCTCTGAGCCCCATCATCTCAGAGTGAGCACCCTGGGTGTCTACAGCTCCACATCATCTCATGATGTCTAGCTTCCTCTTGTCTAGGTTAACACTAGAGGAAAGAGGGTCTGCATCCCTGACCACCCTTCCAGATACACAGCAGTCAGCTCACAAGCCCTGAGAAAAAAAAACAAGTTACTGGGAACTGAAGAGCAGTAGTTTGTAATGTGAGGCTGGCTACTGTTGCTGTCTCCAAAGCTTTCAGGCCTCCCTATGAGTGACTACAGCAGGACTCTCAGCACCTAACACAATAGTCTCACAACAAAGTGTACCTACAAATATTCAATTGATTGGCACTGAAGAGAAGATGCTTGTCCTAGACACAGCTTTTTTTCAGATGCTGAGCTATTCTTGTGCAATAGAGGAGGCAGCAAATTCAAGACACAGTCCTTCATTACAGAACTGCAGTTTCCCTTCAAAACTCACATTTTACTGTGTAAATCCAGTCTCTCCTAACCATTTTAAACTGCTTTTCAGAGCCCAGAGGAAATGTCTTATAACTCAAGTCTCTTTGGTCATCAACTGAAAAAAGAACTTCCAGGTCCCTAGAAGCACACCAACACCTCCACATATCACTGACGCTGAAACATTCCAATCCCCCAAATCTCCAAGCTCCCCCAGGGAAGCATACCTAGCATTTAGGGAACACACACATACATACCACACATAAGGCAGCTACATTAATTCAGGCAAGGCAATGCCCACGAGCACCAAATCTGGCCCATAGCCTGTAACCACCATCAATAAAGTGATTCCATAAAGGGAACGTGAAGTCTGATATGGTATTTAAAATTCAAAATTCCCTTGGGCAACACCAAGGCACACACTTCTGGGTACCATGTCAGCAAACTTGATGCTATAGGCTTGTGTATGTGTYTATTTTACACAAACATAACTTCCAAACATTGATTTATATGAGGTGTGAAAGTAACCGTCTATTGATGACACTCTTGTGGGTCAGGTTATATCCTTCCCCATCATCTAAATTCTGAATTACCAGCGCAGCCCAAAAAAGTTCACTCAGCTTCTCTGAATCAAGAAATCAAAGACAAGAAAACACATGCTGCAAATCAAACAAAAACACTGTGCTGCCAGGTGCAGTGGCACATGCCTGTAATCCCAGTGGTTAAGGAGGCAAAAGGATCATGAGTTCAAAGCCAGCCTGAGCAACTTAGAGAGGCTCTAAGCAACTTAATGAGAACCTGACTCAAAATATAAAAAGGGCTGGGGATGTGGCTCAGTGGTTAAGTGCCCCTGGGCTCAATCCCCACTTCAAAACAAAACAAAACAAAACACCATGTTTTATGTGCTTCGCACACTTACTTGTTCCTGAATGGGACTTCCTAAAACTGAAACCAGCTGGTGCTGGCTCTATGGGGCAGACAGGAGTCCAGCTGCATATATTTTCTAAAACAGGGACTGTGGATCCAGGGAACATGCATATGAGCAAAAAGAAGGTTTCACAGTACAGTGACAATCCCTCTTGGAGATGGGCTGAGAAAAGTCCCCAGAGGATTGATGTGTCTTTTCCTTACTGTCCTCATGCCAATCTGAAAGTGTGCAGCTCTGGTTTCATGCGGGGGTGGGGGCCGGAGGAAGGCTGAATTCAAATTCTGTGGTGAAGACAGAATCTAAGATCTAACCCCAAGACAGAGATCTGTATTTTGGCCCCCAACCTGAAAGGGTATGGTCTCCAGAACAACTGGTTTTTGAAACAAGCCAAACCACAGGCTGAACCCACAGAGTGCCCTCCTGTGGTGGTCGCGGCACCATTCCTAGTTATGGGGGAGGAGGCAGGTTGAGGGTAGGGAGGACCACGCACACCCTGGCCTCAGTAGCTACTCAGACACCCTAAACAAGGACCAGGCCCAGGGACCACAGGAGGCATCCCACACTATGTCAACCACATGTCCACCTGTAGAGACCATCTCCCTTTCCTGTTCACACAACCCAAGGTCAAGGCCCTTCCTAGCACACCAAGCAGTCCTCCTAGCACCCCCTCAGTCTCCCACTTCCGCCCCCACTCCCTCAGGCTGCAGAGGCTTTACTTCTGAAAGCCTCCTAACACACTCCCCGCCCCGCCCACCCTAGGCCTGCACAGCCCACGCTCCTGCACGTTTCCTCACACACTCCCAGCTTAGCAACCCCTCGCAATCCGCACAGCCAACAATCCCGCAAGCCTCCCTTCACGCTCCATGCCCCGCACACCCTTGGGGCTGCGCAGACCGCACTCCTGAAAGCCTATCCGCCCCCACGCCCTGCATTCTTGCATGCCTCCCGGAAAACTCGGGGTTCCGCACACCCTCCAGGATGCACAGCCAGCACTCCTGCACGCCTCCTGGAACGCACTTTGTCCGGCACACTCCCAGTCCCGCACGTCCCGCAGCCCCACACCTGCACGCCTCTCCGCACTCTCCGCCCCACACGCCCTCGGACCCCCATGGCCCGCACACCTGGTCGCCTACCCGCACACTCCCGGCCCCTGCACGCCTCCCGCGCGCACGCCGCGGACCCCTCTTCCGGGTCCGCGCCCGCCGGCCTAGCGCGGCCTACACCGGCGGCGCGGGAGGCAGGCCCTCCCGCCGCAGGAGCGCGCCCGCCGGCCCCGCGCTACTCACCGGCGCGCGACGGCTGTGGCGGCGCGGCCTCGGGCCCGGCTCCCGGAGCAGCGCGGCCCATGCGCTCAGCGGCGGCGCGGCGGGCGAGCCCCGGCGGGGGCGCGGCCCGCGGCGGACCCCATCTCGGCTGCGGTGGCTTGGCGGCCGGAGGCCCGGAGGCGGGCGCGGGCAGGCCGCGGACGCCGCCGAGGCCCGGCCGCCCGCTCTCACAGGCCCGCTCCGCAGGGACGCGGCTCCCGCCCGACTCCCGCAGGCTCCTGCGGCGGCGGCGGCGGTGGCGGCCGCGAWCGCTTCCCGGGGCCGGGGCCGGAGCCGGAGTCGGAGCCCAGAGCGCCGAAGCCCAGGCCGAGCGCCCCCGCCGGCGCCGCCCGGAAGTGCGGGGGCGGGGCTGGTGGTGGGGCGTGGTCGGGGCGGGACCTCGCGCTGGGGAGGGGCCGCAGGCGCAGAGGAGGAGGCGGGCCTTGGGCCTGTCCGGGTTAACTGCAGACCCCAGGACTCGGCAGTGCGTTTGGGAGGGTCTCAAGGACTGCAGCCTCAGGGAGCCTGCGCTGAGCGGAAGGCCGGCCCGATGTGAGCACCGCAGTGAGCATGCCGAGTTGCAGAGCTTTTCTACCACTCACACCATCGAAGGCGGCCCTGGGTGTCTACCAATTCAGGGCTCCCGAGTCCSGCCCGCGCCTAGCCGGCCTCCAGTCCCCTCGGCGAGGGAGCTGAAGCTGGAAGAACTGGAAGCTGGATGCCTGCCTGGCCGGCCCTGGACAGGAGGCTCTTAAGTCAGGAACCATCACCGCCTGCCCAAGGCATGCGAGATGCCTATGAAAGCAGACGTCCTGGGGGTTGGGCTGTCTTGGACAGGGCAGGGCTGATCAGGATATGAGCTCCTGGTGGCTGTCCAGCTCCTTTATCTTSCCTTTCTTTAATTTTTTTATTGTATAATCTTATTTATTTTTATGTGGTGCTGAGGATCGAACCCAATGCCTCACACACGCCAGACAAGTGTGCTACCACTGAGCCACAAGCCCAGCCCCTATTTTCCCTTTCTTAATACCCACTGCTGTCCAGAACCTCTAGAAGGTCAACTGTGGCTCTGCCCTAGGCAGTAGGGACTTAGGATGAGGACACACAATAAATGATGGCTGCCACTTGGACAGGAGGTAAAATCTCCAGAGCTGTGGGCTAGGTTTGGCCACTGCTGCTCCAAAACACAGATCCCTCTGCCTTAATTTCTCCCAGGCACCATCCAAATTCAGACAAGGGCTCTCCTTCCCACTGCTGCCCAAGGGTCCCACTAGTCCAGGCTAGCCTGAGAAGGAGGGCTTCTGTGTGTCCTGTCCTCTGCCACCCCCATCTCCATGACATCTTTTGCTGAGGGCTCAGGTCTGAGCCCCTAAGCTCATCAGGCCAACTCCATGTTGCCCACCACCACTGGATGCATGACAGAAGGCCCATAGCTATAAGCACTCAACAGTGGGCAAGGGAATGTGCAGCCATACCTGGAAACAGCCCCTGCACCGGCTCTCCACTACCATCCTGTCAGAACCAGCACCTCTCCCAATCCTGGGGCCCTGCCCAGTCCTTAGCCCTCCATCAGCCACTCCCAAAGAGAGGAGGTAGGCACTAGCAATTGCTGTCCTTTGTCTGCCACCCCATGACAGCCAGGACACTATGCTTCACAGAGCTATGTCTGCCTGGTACCTCACAGGGGCCCTCATTACACAGCCATAAAACCTCAAGCAGTTCAGGCTCACTTCTGCACATCCAAGGCTCACAGCTCACCATTCAATCCACACCTTAGCTGGCAGCCATCACCTGGCCTACACTCTGCTTTAAAACTCTGAGCACTCCCAGGAGCCCACACCATTTCAGGACCATTCCTGATGTTATGTCCCACCTACCACCCTCTCCTCAGTGCATCTAGTCACTTGCTCACCTCAATGCTTCCACCATGATGCTCTCCCAATGCCACTATCATATCTATTGGATATTGTTCATCCTTGATACCCAGCCCCTTATCCTGCATAGTTAGCTTCTAGGCAAGCACAGAAATCCTGGCTTGGGGATTTCTTGAGTCACCAACCCATATCCCACCCTGCTGCCCACCTGTGGCACCTGCCTGGGGTGAGCATGTGCAGAGGCATCRCAGGCCTAGCCCCTGTTGCCTGACTGTCTGGGGACTCAGCATAGTGCTGGATGCCCAGGGTTGCTGTAGGAAGGGAGTGGCATCAACAGGGGCTACTGGAGTATCCCAGTCTGCCAAGGTTCATTCCTTGGTCCATGACTATGCCTCAAGGTGCACTGCTAGTCCAACACCAGCCCCAGTGTGTCCTGTCAGTGGGTGTTCTACTCACCCATAAACTGCCGGGATAGCCCCAGGTCCAATAGTGCTGGCACTGGAAGCTTCCTTGCAGCCCCTCCCAGCCCAGTTAGCCCCAGAGCTTAGAGGGGACAGTGGGTGGCCACTGAGTCAGCAGTAGATAGCCCTCATGGCCCAGCAGGCCACTATAAGTTCAGGGAGTCCTGGGAAGGCTGCACAAATAGCAGAACCTCTGAGACATTGGGCTTGGGCTACCTCCCCACTCCCAAACCAGGGCCCCAGTGCTTGCCTCAGTTCTACAGAGCTGCTGCCACGGCCAGGCCAGGCTCTCGGGGTCAAGTCCACGTCCATCCTCTTCCTGGCCCACGGTGGTGGGTGTCCCCCAGCCCTGGGACCAGAACTGGACCCTTGGGCCTCCGGCTCCTTGGGGCCCCTGCCCTGCAGGGACAGGAAGGGAATCAGGAAGCCTGCAGAAAATATGCAGCCCTGCTAGGGTGGATTGTGGTGTGAGCGTGAGGGACAGTGTTGGAACAGGGTGGGGTGGAGGTAGGACCAGAGGAGGGACCTCTGGAGGCCTCTACTCAGAGCTAGCCTAAAGAGACACTGAGGAAGGAAGGGGCAGGTGATGTGGGACAGAAGAGGCTGGAACCTGAGGAATTTTCAGGAAGCAGGTTTATTGACTGCAGGGTTCAGAGGGGGCTATTTCCTAAAAATTCTTTCTCTGAGCAATGAGTCTAGAAATTCTTTGAACTTTATACCCACTGGTGGGGGACTTGGGAGGTTCATATGATAAGTGCTGTTTGTTCCATCCTTGAGACCAGACAGAGGTTTCACAAGTTTCTTTCTTTTTCTACAAACCTGGCATTTACAAAAAGAGGAGACTACCAACCACAATGCCCTCTGCACAAGTTTTTGCTGATAAAAAGCTTTCTGACAGGCTAAGAGGAACTTAACATGCCACAAATATGGTGGATGTTTCTGCTTAATTATGGTAAGGGTCTTCTGCATGTAGGTCTCTGGCCTGCTTCACAGGCATAGCACTGGGGGCCTTGCTTCTGAGAACTTGGCACCCTCTTTTCATGAAAGAGTCCTTTTGGATGTGGATGCCTTTGGAGGAGCTGGAGTTTGCCAGTAAAGGCTTAGATTTAATTAATTTCCTTGACATTTGTTCAGGCTTTCCATGAATCAATCAAAACCCTTCAAAGCGGGCTGGGGATGTGGCTCAAGCGGTAGCGCGCTCGCCTGGCATGTGTGCGGCCCGGGTTCGGTCCTCAGCACCACATACAAACAAAGCTGTTGTGTGTGCCGAAAACTAAAAAATAAATATTAAAAAAAAAATTCTCTCTCTCCCTCTCTCTTAAAAAAAAAAAAAACCCTTCAAAGCAAAAATTATGTTGTCACTGGGCGTGGTGGTGCATGCCTGTGATCCCAGTGGCTTGGGAGACTGAGGCAGGAGGATCTCACAAGTTCAAAGCCATCTCAGCAAAAGCGAGGCACTCAACAATTCAGTGAGACCATCTTTATTTTTCAATTTTTTTTTTTTTTTGGTGGTTATATATGGACAGAATGCCTTTATTTATTTATTTTTTTAATGTGGTGGTGAGGATCGAGCCCAATGCCTCACGCATGCTAGGCAAGCACTCTGCTTCTGAGCTACAACCCCCGCCCAGTGAGACCATTTTTAAATAAAATACAAAATAGGGCTGGGGATATAGCTCAGTGGTCCAGTGCCTCTGAGTTTATCCTTGGTTTAAAAAAAAAAAAAAAAAAAAAAAAAAAAGATGTGTCGATGTAGACGTAAAAGGAATACTTTGAAACAAAATGAACTTTGTCCACTTGGCTGAGGAACATCCTTTATAAACAAGAGAAGGGAATCACCTAAGATGCCCCTGGAACACCTGCAGAGGAGGGTCTGGCTGTGGGGGAGAACACAGAAGAGGGCAGCTGCAGAGGGGAGACAACCAGTGTCCACATACCAGCTGTAGAGGGGAGGACAAGGAAGACAGATCTGATCACATTCTAGAGGAGGGGGTCCCAGGCTTGGCCTGTTCCTGTCTGTCCCTTCCCTGCCCTCATTGCTCAGTCCATAGATGTGGGAGGTGGAGGTGGGCAAGCAAATTAGTTCCCTGTTGTGGGAGGAAGCACTTGAAGATCTTAAGTGGTTTTACTGTGGTTCTGAACACACTGTGAAAGGAGAATTTTGATGTTCCAGTGCCAAGTGTAAGGCCAACCTTGACTGCCAGCCAGCTGCCTTCACATCACACGCCTGGCCCTGGTGTCCCTGAGTCTTTTCTATCAGTTTGGAGCTGGGGCAACAACAAGAAACCTTAGAACTTATCCTAGGGTACTCATAAGGTCTTTGGTAAAGAGCAGAGTTATGAATGGGTTGTTCTTTATACTTCAGGAAGTTTCCACAGTGATATTACTACTACAACTAGAAAGCCTCTGTAGCAGGCACCATCTTCCCATTAACGGCAGTATGAATTAACCCACGGGAGCGACACCCTGAGGGACAGAGCTGACCTGTGGGTAGTGGTGAACAGGGTTGCAAGCCCAGTTTTATGTCTGTCACATCATATACCAAGCCCCCCATTAGCCTGGGGACAGGTGAGATGATGCCACCACCTTCCTGAGACATGTGTTCTGCCTTTGGCTTCCTGGGCTGCCTTGCTTCTGTGGTCACTGTGGGCTGGGGCCTCMCTGGGCCCCAACTTTGCATCTGGCAGCCATTTAAGCATTAACATGGCCCTTGAGGGGCCCTTCCTCCCTTTGCCTCCAGGCTATTTCCCAGACACCATTTTGCACCATCCTGCTGTTAGAGTTCTCTGCCTCTGGACAGCCTAGCAGCTGGGGCTGGGGGATGGAAGCAGGCTCACACAACCCGGCTCCAGCACTGAAACTCCATGAATAAGGATTGACACGACTGTCGCTGCAGCAATGGGTGACCCTGAAGGTTCCTGCTCCCAAGACACATGCCAGGTGAAGAGTGGACAATCAGTCTTGCCAGCATGGCTTTTAGAAGCTCCTGCTGAAGTCA